GTTAGGCTGCCGGGCGCAAGCAGGAATACCCTGGTGCTGCAGGTTCCCAAACTGGTGCTAGCATCAAGAGGCTTTTAGCTGTCCTTTCTGCCCCTTGTTCTTCCCACAGCACAAGCCTTCTCATACAACTGCAAACTGCTTGAATCTGTAAGGCCACAGAAGAGATGGTAAGGGCAAGCAGTCACATAACCCCAGGCAGCTTAAACAGAAGCAGTAATGCTGTTGTCAGCAACTGCTATTGGTAGCTTCAGGTGTGGCAGCTGGAATAAGCAGATTTAATCAGAGGCCATAGCAGTGATCTGAACAGACAATGTGCAGATGCACTGTGTTCTGTTCCAGGAGGAACAGCTATCACCATTAGGTGAGGCTGTTGCTGCTGCCCCAGCAGCCTGCCACATTGCTCTGTTGATGTGCTGACTGCTGGTAAAAGGGTGGCAGTGATGTCCAGGGACTTCTGCCATCTCCAGTGGTAGGTATTTAGGGAAAAGCTTTGAATCCGTTTAAAGTAAATGTCAGTCAAAGAATCATAGAATAGTTAGGGTTGGAAAAGACCTTAAGATCATCTGGTTCCAACCACCCTGCCATGGGCAGGGACACCTCACACTAGACCATGTCACCCAAGACTCCATCCAGGCTGGCCTTGAACGCTGCCAGGGACAGATCTTCCAGAAACAGTCCTTTGACTTGAGTTAAAATCACAAATTTGCTGACCATACGCCAGTTTTCAACTTTACAGGCCTAAAAGGACACTTGTGCTTCCTTCCCCTGTGTGAGCTCTGGTGCTTGCACTGCTGCAGAGTTCTGTCAAGCAGTTAACACCCTGATAATACCAGCAGCCTGAAGACATTCACAGCAGCATCCCTAGTGGAATGGAAGTGCTGTCAAACCTGTGGTAGCTCTGAGACTCTCTACAGCAGCACTTGCAGCAGGGAAAGACACTGGCTCCCTGGAATTGGAGGCAGCACCTCAGTATGAATCCCTACACTTGTGTGCTGAATGGCCCCAGAGATCGGTACAATCTACCCAGGGAGGGTAGACTTTGCTACACTCCAGAGAGCACTTGCCAGCTTGCTTAGCAACCCTCGATATAAAAAGAGGGGAATAGAGGGGGTATGTTAAAAGCCACTCAAGTCAGTCTGTTGGCTAAGATTATCTAAAGACTGCTAACTTGGGGTAAGTGAAAGGGACATCTTTCAGTCCCCTCATTATCTGATGCTGTTTTTTCCTTCCTCTCTGATAGCACAGCTCAAGCAGGAGGATCCAGACTCCTATTATAATATGCTGACTAAATTTCCCTCTATCTAGCTTTCTTTGGTTGAACCTAAATTCAAAGGCAGAAGTCAGAGGTGGCAGAAGCTGGAAGATGAAGCTAAGCTGCAGCACTGATCCCATCCAGCCCAGAGGGACCATTTTTAATGAAGCTCTTACCATAGTTGTCAGCTTTGGTCATTAGTAAGTTTCTTTCTCTCTCCAGTGACTTTCTGTAATGAGAAGAGGAGTTCATTACCTGCAAGGCACAACACAGTCTATTTCTTTGCTTACACGATGGAAAAGAGACTGTCCCACTGCCAGGGATATTTGTGCACAGAATGAACCCCTTACCCTTCACCATGGAGGGGTGACAGTTTGGAACCCCCCTAACTGTGCAAGAGATACAGCAGTTTTAGATTATTTTCTCCTTCCCACAAACTGCTTCCTATCTCTCCTTTCAGGACAGTGTCAGTCTATGCAAGCAGGCTACAGAGGGGGTCTATGTATGTCAGAGAGCTCCCTACTCTGTTCCCCCAGGTGGAGTAGGAAGTTCTGCCACAGCTATGGGACTGGGCAGGGTCCCTACATGCTCTCTGTAGGATTCTGCCCCTCCAACATATCTGGAATGCTAATTCTTCTCACCGATTGAAGCTGGTCTCCCTTTGACAGAGGTATCCTATTTACACAAATTGGTCAACTCAAGGCAACACGCTGAATCCAAGCCCAGTAACAATCAGTTAAACAACCTGTTATTAAACAGAAGACTCCAGATAACAACAGTAAAGACTAAGTCAGGTCAACCCAGCCCTCGCCTTAAACTGCACAAGGTAATTAATATATGGTTTACAATATAAATACAAAACCAAACTGCCTGAAAGCAGCTGCATTTCCACTACAGCAGTGAGGATGCAGTCATTTAGACTCTCTGCATATAAATAACCATGCTCTAACAAATTATCTCCTGGTTCAGAGCAGACAAGAGAAAGCAGTAAGTGTAACAGAGTTTGTCGTTCCCCTTGGGGCAGAGCAAGAACCCGTAAGAGGAAAGAGATCCAAATCTATGTGTACAGCTAGTTAAGTAAGGGATGGCAAGAAAGCAAGCTACGTTGGGGCAGCAGGAGACGAAAGGGCTCTTCAAGGCAACTGGGGAAAGGCAGCATGGAGTGCAGGCAGGTACAAGTGAGAAGGCAGATTTACCAACATGACTGAGCTGCTACTTAGGAAGTTGCCTCGTGAAGAGAGTCAAGGGAAGAGGCTTTGGGAATGAGACGTGAAGAAACCATGACAACTGAACTTCAAAATGGGAAAGCAGAGCTCTCCTTTATGTGCTACTCACTTAATCAATTTTGATCATGGTACCTTTCTCCAGGGTTTTTTTAATGGTCTGGATTAGGGCAACAGAATTTCTGTTTCCATCTCCATACAAGTTGCAAAATCCACAAAGGGCCCCAGGAATCCCTATGTCCAATTCTTTGCTCTAGGGCCTGTATTGCAGAGAGAAATCATACATATATCTTCCATCCTGTCAAGTTACCACAACTGTAGGTTTGGTTGCTGGCCACCTAAGAACCAGATAAAGAATACACACTGTAAACCTAAGAAGAATTTAGGCCTAAGAAAGAATTGTTGAGATGAGGAGCTAGCAACGAGAGACAGGACCCTGCACAAATATGGATGGGGATATAAAACCCCAGTAAAGGGCAGTAGGGTGAGAAAGAGAGTGGAAAGGAGGAACAAAGAAATTAAGCTGAAGCTGGTAAGTATTGGGGTGTGGAGATGTCACCACTGCTGGGATCATTTCTAACTGGGTTCTGTAGGACAGTCCTGTAGAGCAAACACCAGGACAGCTCCCTGGGCCTACGAGTGAATTTCCAGCCTTTTTTTTTTTGCTAGGAGCAGAGTAGTAGGATGTTGGTGACTGGAAGAATGTCCTCGAGCAGAGAGATTTGAGAATGAGCTGGGAGATTTAGGATCTCTTGCTTCACAGTCTAGAGAAATAGCAGGTTCTGCCTCTGTCTGCTACAAATCCAGGTCAAGTCCAACTCCAGCTGGGACTCTTGCTTGAGTCCCAGCTCTAGAAGCCTAGAGTTGCCTTTTCCATGTCAGTGACAGATTTCAGGGGAATTGTCCCTCTTCCCTTTCCCAAGGAAACCCAGTGTGTCAATGTATTCATACATCCTGCTGCATCTGCAGCACAGGCCCAGCTAGAGCAATTTCCCTCAGTCTGGTTTGGCCCTCAGTATTAGTTGCTGCACATCTCCCCTGACTGAAGTTAGGCAGTTTTGGCAAGGCTTGAGCAGCAACATGCAGTGGACCTTTGTTAGACTCTCAGAGCTGTTTCCTAGCAGGCCAGGAGCCAGCTCTGCAAATGAACTGGCAAGTTTTGGGTGCTGCTTAGCTGGTTGTGGTGCAGGGTGGAGTCAGGCTGTTGGTAAGATAAAGCTCTCTCCATAACTCACTAAACTTACCACCTTGGCAAGTTCCCCAAGTAAGCTCCAAGCTGGGGCAAGAGGGTCTTGTCATGGGGAACCACACATTCCCACCCCTTCAAGAGCCCTTGCTCAGTACTACAGCAAGATGACAGGTAGGTGAAGTGCACAGCCACAGCTGTGAAAGGAGATAGTCACCAATACCTTCCTTCAGAGCTGAGCTTCTCCCTGCGCAGTTTAAGATCCACCTCCTCCACGCTCTGTCTGCAACGTGCCAGCTTCTCCTCCAGCCCATCGATCTGTAAAACACCACACCAGTCCCCATCATCTCCTCTCCTAGCTAATATGGATCCATGTCCACTCAGATGGAAAGGGTGGCAGCTCAGCCACTCCACCTCCTTCCTCCCCAAATCAAGGGAGGAACTGCCTCAGCCATGTGTAAAGATCACAGCACACAAAGCCCACTGCCTCTCAGATCAGCCTGTATTATACCCCAGGCTACTGTGACACTGTAATCCCAGCCAGCAAAGCCATCTCTAACACCCCCCCCTTGCGTGGCCAGCAGCTGGCCAGCACCTTTTTCCTAAGGTCTGATCCTGTTCCAGCCTGTTCTAGTTTCTTTGCATCTGGCTCCACAAAGAAAGATGGGATTTAAAGCATCTTAATGGAATTAAAAGAGGATAAAATGAGAGGAACTGGCCTTGGCCAAAGCCTGAGGCACAAGGTTTTGTTTTAGTGCTGGTGAAGTGATACAGACGTTCACAGGACATGACTACGAAACAACCTCAGCTGTCTGTCTGGGTGAAGAGGAGACAAGAGGAAACACTGACACCTACCAACTAACTGTACAACAGCAACAGCAGTCTGCAGAGCATGCTCAAGAAAGCATTCCCCACCAGCACCTTTGACCTGCACCAAGTTTGGCCAAAACATGTTCCTATGCAGAAAAACACTGGTCATCTCCTTGTGTCTCCTTGTCAGGTTTCCTAACAGCCACCCTGCCCCTGCATCTTCCTGTGGAGGGAAGTAACTGTGGATAAATGAGAGGATTGATCCACTTGTGTGCAAATGGATTGCCCAGGTGGGAATTAGACTGTGGACAACAGTTCTCCAGGGAATCATTCCTCTCTTCTACCTAGTAACCAGAGAGTAGATATCTTTAGGAAAACTTCTGTCTTTCAGGCTTGCTTCCATCAGGGGAACAAGCGGGACTGATCAGGTAATATGAACACAACATCCTAGCCAGAACGAAAATGGCCTCAGTGCCATGAGGTGGCATGACCTCCTTTTTTAGCTACTTAGCACAACACTCCTGCTGTGCCTGGTTTTCCAAGCAAGGCTAAGGCCAGCTGGTGGCTGGCAGCATGGGCTCTCTGTGGTGGGAGCCATCACTCACGAGAAGCTAAGAGGCAGCACGGTCCTGGATAAAGTACTGAGGTGAATGGGACACCAGCTGCCTGGACATGAGCCTCAGAGGTGGCCTGGGGCACAAACACTCCCACAAACAGTGATATGGGAAATAAAATCGAAGGTAGTGATCCCTAATTATTGCTGCTTTGGGAATCAGATCTGTTTTGAGCTCATTAGCAATCTCACACCTTCTGCTCAGGAAAGGCAGGTAAGTGTTATAAATAAGCAGGATGGGAGAAGAGGCTTGATGTAAAGGGGAGACAACAAAGCAGACTGTAAAAAGCAGTTTATCCAGCCAGCTGAACAGTCTCACTGCAAGAAGCACAGTATTGCTGGGGAGGGGCCACATGTAAGAAGGCTCAAATTAATCTTTGCATCTTACCAGACAGAAATTTCAGAGTCCTTTTTTATTAGGCAACTCTGCCAGGGCTGTTGAAATGCCATCAGCACAGCTTCCCTGAGCTCAAACAGAGGACCAAGGCACATCACCTTATCCCAGAGCACAGAGAATGGCGCTTTGGTTTGCTTGGATGGGGACAAAGTTAGTTTTGAAGCATGTTCGCATTCAGTCAAGGCAGATAGTTGTCCTTCTCCATATTCAGATGTGCTAGTTAAGAATGTTAATTCCAGCTGCTCATCACTATCTCTCATCCACTACAGCTTAGTGAGCGAAATGCATTTGCATTGCCCCAGTCTGCTTCAGGGCCAACCTGGAGCTTCACCCAAGTCAGTTCTGACCATGCTTATCAGCAAGTTTGATTTAATGGCAGAGTGCAGTGGAGTGGAGGTGGGATGTCTATCCACTCCAATTTAAGAATAAACATCTCTCTCGCCAGTTCCTACCATTTGCAAATGACTGTGTCTCTGCTCCCTTATCTGCTGGAAACCCTCACATACAGGCACAGGAAGAGGTAATTCAGCATGTGTTACCTGGCTGCTCCTTAGCCAGCAAACTTATCACAACACACCATGCCTTCTCTGGAAACATATTTAAAAATCATGTTAGATAATACAATTTAATGAGAGCTTTGGCTGCCAACGCCACCACTAAATTATCTGTGTCACAGCACATTCTACCCTCTCCTCCAGAACTGCTGCTCCTTCTCAGTTTGCAGTTGCTCTCACCAGTACATTCTCTGCCTGTCATTTCGTAAGACATAACAAGAGGATATTCACCTACTTTCTGCTGACTAAAAATCTCCAGATTCCACATAATACTTTAAAACTTTCCACTGGTTTTACTGCTCTTAAATCAAACTTAAAGTTTGGGTCCCCTGATGGAGAGCAGTAATTTTGCTAATAAACCACATGCCCCAGAACTGCACCATCAGCTTTGCTGAGCTGGGGGCACAAGGGACAGAAAATAATAATAAAAAAGAAAACCATAGCTGAAGGAACAAAGACTCATTTCCTCCAGAATCTCACTGTTTTCTTTCTTCGGGCTAGTCTGGGGCATCAGGGGTTGTAAGGAAGGCCAAGAGTGAGGAGTCCCACATGTTATCCATTCGCTGTGCCTCAGTTTCCCTACTTATAAACCAGAGCAATACTATCTGCCTTCTGAAGTGGCTCATTTACAAAAGGAGCCTCGGACATCAACCAACTATGGGAAGAGTACCACTGCCTCACTTGGGATCTGTTCCTGAAGCTACAAGTCTCTCAGCAGCTCAGCCATGTAAGAAAGTCTTCACTGTAGGGCAAAGGAAAGAGAAAACAAGCACAGGGAGGAATCACAGTAACGCCTGGGAGTTACTGATTACTCTCTGGGCTGCTGAGCAAACTCCCAGGAGGGCCATAGCCTGAAAAGCTGTAGCACCAGAAAATCTGCAGAGCTTTGGCATAATGCCCTGCAGCAGCTCTCCAGGAGAGCAATCCTAGAAGCAGGTGCATACCTGAGCTCATTGTGGATGGAAAGCTTTCCCTCCTACTAACACATCAGAAGGTTAGCTGGAGTATGTACCTAGGCCTACTGGAAGCCTGCATGAAAACAAAGTGCCAAGCTCACTTAGCTGTACTATCACTGCACTTCACACTGGCTTACCTTTTTAGTGGTAATCTCAGCACAGTGGCTTACAAATTGCAAATATGAACCCTTGCTCCTTCTAGCTCTCCTCTCCATGAAGAGGATCCTCTGGTAGAGAGCTGAAGGGCAGCATGCAGAAAGCTCACGTAACAACCCTTCAGCTTCACATGGCCTGTAGCAGGGACACAGGACTTCACTCACAGCAACATCTTCACGTAGTGTCAGTTAAAGGGGCAAATGAAGTGGGTGCTTCACATCCAGGCAGCAGCATGGGGCACACAGAACTGCCCTTCTGCTCCTCAAAAGCCACTCCACAAAGTCAAGTCCCAGCAGTTCTGGATGCACAAGGTGGTCTACAACCAGATGCCTCCCTTGCTTCACAAGGTATGAGAAGGCATTGAGCCATCCTTGCTGAATTCTGGCAATACTCGCCTGCAATCTGGAGACCTTTTTAAACCAGAGAGACCTGAAGTGGATTCCAATTCAAACTGTCTTACACGCTTATTACAAATCTCCTTTATTGGGCCCATCTTGGGCAGGGTGCCCGAAATGGCTCACATTAAAGGCAGAGACAAAGAGAGAAGAGAAAAAGCAGCAGCTTTGCTTACAGAATTGAGCTGGATCCCTTTTAATACATTCTGTAATGAATTAATAAAAGCTTTCTTTCCAGCAGAAAGGCTAAAAGTGCTTTTCAAGAACTGGCATCCACCCTCCACTTTTATGAGTTCCCTAATTAAGATCCTGGCGAAGAGCCATATCACACATACGTCGACATCCAACAGCATTAGGTAATGAGGTCTTCGTCTTCTGACCCTCATAAAACAGATCAAAGCCAACTAAAGAAGTGGGGGCAAAGAAAAAAAAACCCCTTCCCTGAGCAGCCTTCTCATGCCTTGTCACCTGCCAGCACACTTGAGCCGTTCTTTTCATAGAAGAATTAATGGTTCCTGCATCCACAAATTCAGCTGGATAATTAAAATCAGCCCAGCAGAGATGAGTTTTGTTTGAATTCAAATGCTAACTTGCAGGTCATGGACACACTTCCATTTTCACCACGCTCTTGGAATCATTTTGCATGCTGCCAAATCATTTTGCAGACGCTGTGCCCACAGCATGCTTGGAAATATTTACCAGGCAAGCCACTACACACTAGAAAAAGTCTTAAGATAAATCCTGCAGATCAACCCTCTGTGTCGATGAAGGAGAAAGGGCTGAATTCTACTGCCTACAAGGCACTGCCTAAGCACAGGGTGTTCTCTTTGCAGCTAACAACCCCAATTTTTTGCTTCCATGAATTGTTTTCAGTTGTTGTCTGAGCCACACGTGTATTTTTAAGGGCTACAAAATCCTCTGGTATGGAACAGCCACAGGCTGTGGGAAGAACCAACCCCTCCTGTTTGTTCTAAGCTAATTTGATGTGATAGCCCTAAGATTGTATTGACATTGAATGGCCATTCTTTGTTTAAAATTACAAATAGCATGCAGAGGATACAGACCTATACGGGACCCTCTTGCAATCATGTTTTCAAGCTTAGAAGGATGTAGTATGCTTAGTTGTTTCTCACATAGAGGTTTTCCAGACCTTTGATCATCCTTACCACTCTCTTAAGTTCATTCCTGTTCAGTCTGGAGAAGAGAAGGCTGCGTGGAGACCTCATAGCAGCCTTCCAATATCTGAAGGGGGCTTACAAGGATACTGGGGAGGGACTCTTCATTAGGGACTCTAGTGGTAGGACAAGGGGTAATGGCTTTAAACTTAAACAGGGGAACTTTAGGTTAGATATAAGGAAGAAGTTCTTTACAGTGAGGGTGGTGAGGCACTGGAATAGGTTGCCCAAGGAAGTTGTGAATGCTCCAACCCTCGCGGGGGTCAAGGCCAGGTTGGAGAGAGCCTTGGGCGACGTAGTTTAGTGTGTGGTGTCCCTGCTCATGGCAGGGGGGTTGGAACTAGATGATCTTAAGGTCCTTTCCAACCCTAACTATTCTATGATTCTGTGATTCCATTCTTGCTATTTTGCTACAAACCGGACCAGTCTTCCCAGTTTCATTTTCCTGACAAGTCTCGTCATGGAAGTCCTGTGCAGCTCAGCACTGTCCATAAAGCTGCCTGTCAAAAAGCTACAGAGCTATATAAAAGGAAAAGTGGCAAAAGTTTAAACCATCACAGCATTATGGAGACACATTTATATCAGTTTAAAGCAGGACATATCAATTACACCTGCAATTTGTAAGTGCAAGCTAATCTGGTAAGTGTCCATATAGAAAATTGCATCCATTTAGCATCTTGACTTCAGTTAAACAAGCATGACTCTGCCTAGATTAGGCCTTTCATAGCTAGCCATGTATCATGTCGTATTAGGACTCATTTGGAAAGTTTTCTTTACAATCGTAACAGCTCAGAAAGTAATACTGAACCAAATAAATGTTTAAACTGCGAAATCAGTAGCTTGGTTGTCACACATTCTGACACCTGAAAAACAGCCCTCACATCCTCTGCCTTAAAGGAATTATGTTTTCTTCCTCCCTAACTTCTATTCAGTACCTTTCTCATCACTGCAAGGGGGAAGGATTTTTTCTTTTAGTAGTACCTTTGCATTGAGAGGTTAAGTTTTCACCTGTAACACTGCAAAGAAGAACAGTTCTACAATCCTTTCAAAGGTTGCATGTTCTATCATGACAAGTCTCCAGACACTTTTCAAGAATATGCCTTAGCAGCTAAAATCAGTCCCTTTTCACTGTGACCAGCAGGTCCCTGACAGGCTCACCCTTTTTACCACCTCTCTTTCTGTAAGGTAGACCCTACCATCTCAACTCTCCTTGTCTGTCACAGCTCAAAAAAACCAACCAAAACTCCGTTATTTCAACTCTCCCTGCTAGGCTCACTGAAGGGAAGCTCGGACAGTTAGCACGCTCCCTTCTGGACTCCCTGTGGTGGTTATATTTCGGTTAGAGTGCCCAGAAATGTCTGTTTCTCCAACAAAAGCCTAACTAGATGAAACAGACAAGAAAACTACCATAAACTGAACTCTCATTCATGACACAGAAGGACACTCATCTTTACATTACTGGCTGATGAAGCATATATATGACATGCTCCAAATCCTTTCCTCATCCTTTCTACCCTGGCTATCTTGGTCTGCTGCACATAATACTCAACTTGAGGACAGAGAGAGGTGACCAGTGAGATTCACTGGAGAATCCAGTGGACCAGTGGATTCAAATGGTCCCATTTCAGCCATTTGTCAGGAAGTTCAAGGGTTTGCTGAACCCAAAGTTGCTGCCCCCAAAGTTGCTGCCCCCAAAGTATCCGCAACCCACAGACTTGAACTATGGCCTCTCCACTGCCTCCCCCAAGTCACTCTGGATAGCATTGTTCGCTGCAGGAGCCGGGATGAAGTAAGCTTCAGAGAGACCTTAACTGACATGCCTCAGTTTGTGACTGCAAAGATAAAGTTTAAGCAGAGCTCACCAGCAGCCCTCCTGCCACCAAGGAGACTATGAAACACCCAACAATAAAAAGGCAGCTTTAGAAGGCAGGCATGCTCTTAAAAACCAGTCTCTCCCCCCTCTCCTGCTGTGATTTACAGGCACCTCATATGCTGGTTTATCACTGGTGTCCTCAAAACCAGCTGCCTGTGCCCAGCACGGTGCTGACTCCCACCACTGCACACACAGGCCAGGCTGTGCAAAGATTTGCTAGCCAGGGGCATGAGCTTGGTGCAGCACACTCCACGGGCACACACTTACTGCCTCTCCCTGCACTGGGAGGCTCACTGGGAGCAAGACTGCCAAACACCATCGCTCGGCCAAAGTCCTGGGGCAGAGGACGCGGCAGTGAGCTCTCTGCTCACGGGCGGGCTCAGCACAGCC